TGTTTTCAATTATATGTGTGTGTGTGTGTGTGTGTGTGTGTGTGTATATGTGTGTGTGTGCATATATATATATGTGTGTGTGTGTGTGTATACACGTATGTATGTATATATATATATATGTATGTATGTATAAAAATAAATATAAAGGTAAAGGTTTCCCTTGCTCGAAAGCCAGTCGATTCCAACTCTAGGGTTGGAGTGCTCATCTCAGTTTCAAAGCTGAAGAGCTAGCGCTGTCTGAAGACGTTTCCGTGGTCAAGCGCACGGAACGCTGTTACCTTCCCACAGAAGTGGTACCTATTTATATACCTGCAATTTCTTGCTTTCGAACTGCTGGTTTGGCAGGAGCTGGAACTAGAGATGGGAGCTCACTCCGTCATGTGGCACACTTGGGTCTCGAACTGCTGAACTACCGACCTTCCACAGCCTGCAGTTCAGCATCTTAACCACTTGAGGACTGGATTGAGGGGACTGGATAAACATCTGGAGCAGAGGTCCATCAGTGGCTATTAGCCACAAGGTATAGATGGAACACTATGTCTGGGGAAAGGGATGCTCCATATTCTTGAAGCTTGGGGGGGGGGCAACAGTGGGAGGGCTTTTGGAGTTCTGGTCCCTCTGGAGGACCCCCTAATGGCACCTGGCTTTTGGCCCCTGTGTGACACACAGTGTTGGACTGGATGGGCCACTGGCCTGATCCAACATGGCTTTTTTCCCCTAAGGATTGGGAAAGTGGCTGTGGAGAGGACAGAAATAAGGGTTATGGGAGCAGCTTATTTCCATTTTTGCTCTTTCGTGCTTATCTTCTTGCAGGTCAGCCCAGCAGCCCCCAAACATTTACAGCCCTTTCAAGCTCCATTCACTCTCAGCTCACCCTCTGAGCCAAGGCCTCTGGACAACCTCCCAATATTCTAAAAAAACAACAGCACCTCATCACAAGAGAACTGGGTTAATCTGTGCACACATGGCCCTGTTCCATGTCAACTGTCCAGAACTCTAACTATCTGGGTATTTTGTACACTCTTTGGAGGACTGAAAGCAGCCCATGATTCTAAATGCCTGGCAAAAACTTCCCTGCCTCTTTCCTTGGGTAGAGGACCGCCGGAGAAATCTTTGGCAGTGGCACTCCCAAAAGCAAGAGCGTGGGGCAGGAAGAGCCGGCAAAGGGACCGTCTTCCCCCTCCCCACCTCTTTACTACCCAACCCCATTCCCAGAATGTTGGCCGTACACTCACCTGGTCGTCAGCAATGGCTTTCGCAAAGCGAGCGCAGTCTAACTGCAGGTAAATGTCCGTCAGTTGGTCCAAAAGCTTCTTTGGTTCGAACCCATATTTCTCGGGGTTTTCAACTTTCAGGTCACGGCACTTGGGGCCGCACAGCTGCTGAAGGTTGAAGTTCAGCATCGCAGCCAATCGTGGTCCGAGTTCCTGGAAGGCCAAAGCGACACGATGAAGAATTAATTCTTCCCCATCGACAGACAAGGAATACAAGAGATACAAGGAACAGAAGAAAAGCCGGCGTCCTCCTTTTGGGCAAGTTCCGTTTGATTTCCCCAGGGGGGGGCCTTCGCTCTGCCCACAATATATCTGACTGAAATCCGTTCACTTTGGCCGGCGAGAGCCAGCAAGACCCAACCGAAAGCAAACAGGATACACCTTCCCTGGATACTGTTGCTTGGTCCCACTGCAGTGCGAGAGAACTCTGAGACCTGCCCTACCCAGACAAAGAGGGATCCATTTTGCCCCGGCTAGGCTTCCACTGCAATGTACACAAAACCACACTTCTGGATTACGTATCGCAGGGTTTGCTTCTCTTTGTCCCCCGCAGCAGCTTCCCATCTTTTCAGGAACCATCCCTTTCAGGCAGCCCGGCTCCAAGGCTTGAAGGGCAGCGGCAGGATCAACACAGCCGGAAAAGGACAGAACCACAATCGTTAACCCACACGTAGGAGCGGAATCATTGCCCCTCTGTGCTCCGCTATTCTGAGCAAGCGGCTTTTAGCAAAAGGCCAAATCAATGCTGCCAATAGAACACTGCTCAAGAATTAGGTTTCCCAGCACCTCAAATGACGTTGCAGGTAACTGGCTCCGTTTAATCACGAGTGTGAGAGACTGGAAGGGCCACAGGCCTCAACAGGCAACGAGGCCAAGTCTTAATTCTCGTGCAGATGAAACAACACCCAGTTCCCTAACCGTGGTTAAAAGACTGAGAACACTCTGCAGATGAAGAAGAAGTGATTGGATTTCTACCCCACCCTTCACTACCCGAAGGAGTCTCAGAGCGGCTTACAAACTCCTTTCCTTTCCCCTCCCCACAACAGACACCCTGTGAGGTAGGTGGGGCTGAGAGAGCTCTTTCGGGGACTGCTCCGGAGAGAACAGCTCTGAGAGAACTTGTAACTGACCCAAGGTCACACCATGTGGAGGAGTGGGGAATCAAACCCGGTTCTCCCAGATTACAGTCCATGCTCCTAACCACTACACCAAACCTGGCTCTCATCTGTACGTTCCTTCCCTCCCCCTTTCCTTTTCAGCACTAAATTATTACGTACTGTTACATCTGCACTGAAGTTAAGGCTAGCTACTTAGAAACAAGCTTCAAACCCTGGTTTCAGATCCTTACTTAAAGTTACCCATGGTTTGTATTGCAGTGGAAAGTGCCAGCAAGTTGCAACGAACATATGGCATCCCTTTAGGGCTTTCGAGGCAAGAGACAAACAGAGGTGGTTTGCCACTATCTGCCTCTGCACAGCAACCCTGGACTTCCTTGGTGGTCTCCCATTCAAGTACTAACCAGGAACGACTATGCTTAGCTTCCAGCAACTGGCAAGATCTAGCACCAGGCCGATGTTAGCACTAGCGGAAACATAAAGCTACAACACGGTTAATACTGAAAAGCAGGGCTATTTTTGGGCAGGAACACAAAGAAACGGAGTTCCGGCTGGCTCCCAAGTTGGCCACGCCCAGCAGGAACTCATTAGCATAATAGGCCACACCCAACAGCAGAAACTCATTAGGATCGGCTACATTAGGGGTGTGTGGCCTAACATGCAAAGGAGTTCCTGCTACAAAAAAAGGCCCTGGGATTATGCTAATGAGTTCCTGCTGGGCTTTTTCTACAAAAAGAGCCCTGCTGAAAAGGGAGTGGAGAAGACAAAGTGGAGACCTGCAGAGTGATCCCCAAATATACAGCCTACTCAAGGGATCAGAAGACTGTCACATCCGTAACTGTACCTTACGCTTTGAAAAGCCGCCTGTGACCCAGTGAAACGGAAATGGTTACAGAGAAGCCAGCCCCTTTGAGCTCCGGGGGACTTCCACTCTAGGAAGCGGATCTTGGGCTTCGTTCTGCTAAATGTGGCCACTAGGCCACGGAGATAGATCCAGGTGGGTCGCCGTACTGGTCTGAAGTAGCAGAATGACATTTGAGTCCGGTGGCACCTTGAAGACCGACAAACGTGGTTGGTCTTAAAGGTGCCACTGGACCTGAACTTTGCTCTACTAGGCCATGGGTGAGCCACAAAATCAAAACGTAAATCCAGCCAGCAAGCGCAATGCATAATTCGCAATGGTTAAATTCGGAGTGTTCTGAACTAAAGCGCAGACTTCTGGACACACACCCCACACACACACCCCGTTCCTACTTACAGGTCTGAGGAAAGGCTTCTGAACTTGCTTGGTGAGGATATGGAACATATCGACGGTTTCTGTCGCCAGGGCCAAGTAGGAGCGCGACACTCGCTCGTCCTGTGCAAGCTGAGATTGCCGAGCCTGTTGCTGGTCCTAGAAAACAAGAGGGGGCAAAACCCTCAGCCTGAAAACTCTCCTGCCATCCGTGTGCAACTGTTATTTCTGCTTTTCAGCCATGCCTTCTTGCAGCAAATACGTTCCTGCCCACCCCGACAGAAGCACTAATGTTAAGAGTTACCACATGAAGCAGTCCCCCATGTATGCGTTGGCCTCAGATTCGATACCTAGGGATAGAGTGGTTTTCTGCATGCAAACCAAAGGCCTGCTCTGACACTCAGATATCATAATGCCCCTATATAAATCAATGGTGCAACCTCATTTGGAATACTGTGTGCAATTCTGGTCACCACACCTTAAAAAGGATATTATAGCTTTGGAAAAAGTGCAGAAAAGGGCAACTCGAATGATAAAAGGGTTGGAACACTTTCCCTATGAGGAAAGGTTAAGGCGCTCGGGGCTCTTTAGCTTGGAGAAATGACGACTGAGGGGTGACATGATTGAGGTTTATAAGATTATGCATGGGAAAGAGCAGGTAGAGAAAGAGGTACTTTTCTCCCTTTCTCACAATACAAGAACCCGTGGGCACTCCATGAAATTGCTGAGCGGTCGGGTTAGAACGGATAAAAGGAAGTACTTCTTCACCCAAAGAGGGATTAACACTTGGAATTCACTGCCACAGGAAGTGGTGGCGGCTACAAGCATGGACGGCTTCAAAAGGGAATTAGATTGGCACTGGTATTTCTGGCCACTGTGTGATACAGAGTGTTGGACTGGATGGGCCTTTGGCCTGATCCAACATTGGCATCTCTTATGTTCTTATGTTCATATTTTCAATCATCCCCTTCTCAATCAGCCCTCAGAACACCTTCCCCCATATATACCCCAGAGAGCACTTCGGTCGGGGTCGCAAAACCGATTGCCCCTGCTAGGTCACAAGGATGCCAGGTTAGCTACGATCAGAGTGAGAGCTTTTTCAGTGGCGGCTCCATACTGGTGGAATGAGCTCCCGGAAGAGATCAGGGCCCTGCGGGACCTTTTACAGTTCTGCAGGGCCTGCAAGACAGAGCTCTTCTGCCAGGCCTTCAATTAGGAGCTGCCTACCGCCACCACTACCATCATTAACAACAACACAAGCCGGGTGCCTGGTCTACTATGACTAGCCTGAGCTCGCCAACCGAAACTGAGAAAGACCATCGAGCTGAATATCAAGTGAATTTATCGACTCTGTGAAGCCATCTTGATACTATAACTTAATTGCTAGCACTTTAATTGTAAACTACTGTAATTAATTGTTATGGAACTGTTTTTTGGTGTGATATTTATTGTTAATATGTTTGATGACATTAGCTGCCCTGATCCTGCTTTGGCAGGGAGGGAGGGGTACAAGTTTAAGAAATAAATAAACACACACACAGATATGCACAATTGTCTACTCTGAACGGCCTCCCAGAATCCCACCTTCTGCTCTGACGAGTCAAGACAAGGCTTTGCCTTATGGCCAAGGATAGTTAAAAAACGAACAGGTTGTGTGCCTGACAAAAAACATTCAAGGCTGCTAACAGAAATGTATTTCTTTTAAAAAATCAAGACAAAAACATGCATAACAGAATAATCCAGCGAAGGGAGTGTTTAAGAACCAGTGGGAAAGCCACCAAATGAAGATATAATCTGTGTGAGATTAAAAATCCGGATGAGCATGGCAATCTTTAACTGGCGTCCGAAAGATGAAAAGGCGTGCAGCATGTGAATTTGAGAGAGAAGGGAGCTCCAAACCTGGGGCACCACTGCAGCTCAGTGGAAGGACCTCAGCTTTGCACACAGAAGATCCCAGGTTCAATCCCCGGCATCTCCACTTAAAAGACTCAAGTCACAGGGGATGTGAAAGGCCTCTGCTGAGATCCCGGAGAGCTGCTACCAGCCTGAATAGACAACGCTGACCTTGAGGGGACCAAAGGTCTGATTTCATATAAGGCAGCTTCATGTCAGCCATACAGAGCGGTGTACGAAGCTCCACACCAGTTTACGAAGCTCCACACCAGCCCCTCTCCCATCACACCAGTGCATCCTGGCACACAGTTCGGCAACCGTTCACGCAAAGAGACCGTTTCTCACCCTGGGCAGCAGGTCCCAATGTTCTTTGTTTCTCATCTCCTCTTGCACTTCATGGATACGCTTTAGGGACTCCAAACTCTCGTCCAACAAGAATGTGGTGTCATTGATCAACATATTGATGTAGCGGACAAACTGCTTCCCAGAGCTGAAAGAGATTTGTAATTGAGATGGACTCTCAAAGCGACTTCAACACAGCAAGGGCAGATAAGACTGTTGCTACTTTCAGTAGTAGTAAATAAATTTATTGCATATGGTCATAGGCCATTACAATATAAAATATGCACAATATAAATTTAAGGTTCAAAAGTACTGTTCTGAAAACAAAGCCTTCAGAATAAGACTGTATAACATTTCAACAACAAAGTTTTAAAATCATAGAAGTTGTGCTACCAGTTTTGTAGCTCTATGTTAGATAACTAGAAACCACCTTGGATCTAACTTTTCTGGCTGCAAGGGCAAAAAGTGCTACCTTGCGAGTAACCAGGGGATCCATGTCCGACAAGAGGAAAACCAACTTTTCATTGTCAGGTAAGTGGCAAAGTTGGCTTAAAATTCCAGATAGGAATCTGCTTCTTTGTTCTGAGTATAAAGAACAGACCATGATGTAATGAAATAGATCTTCCACTGCAGTACCACATACACATAGTTCCTGTGGTTTGTTGGTATACCTTCCAAGCAGCACTTCAGTGGGCATGACTGTTGCTACTTGGATCTAGGAGACATGAGGTCAAAATCCTGCCAAACCACAAAACTATCAGTATGGATTTCCAGAGGAGTAGCCATGATAGGCTTTAAGAAGCCACAAGACTCTTCGCTGCAGAAGACTAGCCACGTACAGTGGCCAAACCAGACTCTTCTCTTGAACAGAGACAAACACACACAAATTTGGAAGGGACACGGCCTGGTGGTAGAGTTCTTGTTTTGCATACAGAAGGTCCCAGGTTTAATCTTTGACCTCTCCAAATGAAGGATCTCAAGTAACAGAAATTAGGCAAGGCCTCTCCCCTCCCCAAGACCTCAGAGAGCCAGTGCCAATGTAGACCACTCGGAGCTACACAGATCAGCGGCCTAACTCGGGTTAAGACAGCTCCATATGTTCATAAATATTTTCCCAATGTTGAAAATGGAATCATTCAAAAGCACCAGTGGGGGGTGGGGACGACATCTGCTAGCCTTTCGAGTGCCCAAAGAAAAGAAAAAGAAGAGATTGGATTTATACCCCGCCCTTCACTTGGAGTCTCAGAGGGGCTTACAAACTCCTTTCCCTTCCCCTCCCCACCACAGACACCCTGTGAGGTGGGTGGGGCTGAGAGAGCTCTCTTGAGGACTGCCCTTGAGAACAGCTCTGACAGAACTGTGGCTTGCCCAAGGTCATCCAGCAGGTGCAAGTGGAGGAGTGGGGGAATCAAACCTGGTTCTCCTAGATGCACGAGTCCGTGCACTTGACCACTACACCAAACTGGCTCTCTGTCCCCCGTCCCCCCCAAGATAAACAGCAGCACTCATCATACACCAATGATTAATACATACTTTGCTAATCCTACTGTTTTGTCCTTCAGCATCACAGTAATTTATTTGGGTAGATTCTTTCTGCAGAGCATCTCAGGAAATAATCCACTCCTTTCCTTACTTCAATTTATACCCTGCCTTTCTTCCCAACAGGGATCCAGAGTGGTTTATGCTGCTAGCCTCTCCTTCATTTTATCCTCACAACCACCCTGTGAGGTAGGTTAAGCTACAGATGTGAAGGTCTGGGGAAAAACTGGAAAATTCGGGGAAAACCCTTTTTTTCCCCTGAAGCCTTTTTTGGTTTTTTCCAAAAAATTGAAGAAAAGAAAATTGATTATGGAACGTTTTATTTTAACATGATGAATAGAATATTTTAAGACAAGGTGTTCAAATATTTTCCAAATCATTTCTAAAAATATGTATGGTGTTAGATTGATCTAATTTCTGTGCACTGAGGACAAGCAAGTCCTAGGTTACAAAATGAACTCTCCGATGCAAGAACAAGATGCATCCCTTCCTTTAGGAGGTACTATTGTCACAAGTAAAGAAAAGGGTTTCAGTTTTGTTTTTGATGTGGGTGGGAATTCTGTTTGTAATAATTGTTTGGATACACTATATTTTTAATATGCTAGTTGTGATAATTTCATGCCAAGTAAGAATGTCCATAGTCATATTTTATGTCCCTAAAGTAACAGAATGACTTTCAATCTGGAAAAGAAAAAAGAAGTGCTAATTTGGCATTTTGTTCAATTTTTCCAAAAAATTTCTGGTTTCCCCCCCGAAAAAACCCAGAAAAAAACTGGGGTTTTTCCAAGCTTCAACATTTCCGGGAAATTTTACATCTCTAGGTTAAGCCCAGGCCTTTGTCAACTCACTTGAACTCTTCCATGAAGGTACCGTGGTGAGCGATGTTCTGCCAGAGGCTTTTGAAGATGGTGCTGATGTGGTAGCGGATTGTAAACTTGTCATAGAACTCACTGGTGGCTCCAGTGTGCTCAACGTCTGCAAAAGGCCGAAGGGAAGAATTCAGCATTCCAGTCAACTAGCACAGAGAGAAAGCTGGCTTGCACTGATCAGAAAAGCAGCAAAACCAGGCTGCACAGAGAAAACAAGGGGGGGGGGGGGTTCCTACATAACTGAGGCACTCCTCAAGGACACAGAAAGACATACAGCCCTCTAAATTAAAGAAAAGAGGGAAAGCCCTGAACACAGCATGGATTTTTATTTGCATTTTTAAATTTCCATCCTGCTTTTCTTCCCAGTTGGGACTCGAAGCAGCTTAGAACATCATTTTCTCTTCCTCCATTTTCTCATTACAACCACCCTGTGAGGTAGGCCAGTTTGAGAGTTGGTGACAGGCCCAAGGTTTCCCAGGCGCTGCCATGGTAGAAGTCAGCATTCCAACCAAGACGTCACCCTACTTCTAGGGGACAGGTGAGGAGAGAACAAGGGCAGGTCGGGAGGTAAGTTAACCCTTTAAAGTTGTAGCACAGTATAATTGTTCCCATTGGGTATTGGTATAATCATTCCTCTTTTTTTTTTTTTTTTTAGGAGCTGATTCTTAAGTATTCTGGAGGCAATGTTAGAGTCACGATAGTGACAATAAACGCTATGCAGCAAGGTTTTTACTTCTCTGCGTTCCCTATCAAACCAAGGATTTACAGGGTTTGCAAGGTTATTATTTCTTTTGTTTAAGGTGTCAGATTTTACACACAGTGACTCCGATATATGAAGTATTAGAGTGTTATAAGCTGTTATAGTTGCTATGGGATTAGATGCATCTATTAGAGAAGATCTATACTCCAGAAGAGGGCTAGATTTAAAAAGCTGTTGTGTTTCCCATTCTGCATGATCATTCCAATAGATCCTGGGCAGCGGGTCAGGCTCAGGAGGTTGTGGAACAGAACAACAAGCGGATCTAGCAAAGAGGCACGCTTGAAGGGTCACAATAAGAGGTAGCTGATCACTAATAAGGAAATTTCCTAAGGTAAAGTTTTCGACACAGTTTCAATAAGGAGGAGACCAGAATATAGTCGATTACACTACAGCCCTTGCTTGAAACAAAAGTGTATTCTCCAGAATTTGTAAAACTAGCAAGCCCATTTAACCAAATCCTATTATATTGCGCACAGAATCTGGCAAGACACATCTCTGCTGGGTTTACATGACTGTCCTCTGAGTGTCTTGCAAGGGAGAAGATGGGTGGAAGCAGGGCTTTTTTTGCAGAAAAAGCCCACCCGGAACTCATTAGCATAATAGGCCACACCCAACAGCAGGAACTCATTAGCATATTAGGCCACACCCTAACAGCACAGCTCATTAGCATATTAGGCCACACCCCATGTTACCAGAAGTGTGGTCATCCAGCCACACCCACCTTTTGCTTCTTATTCTGTTTACTTTGTTTATTGTCAAAACCCAGGGCTTTTTTGCAGCAGGAACTCCTTTGCATGTTAGGCCACACACCCCTAATGTAGCCAATCCTAATGAGTTCCTGCTGTTGGGTGTGGCCTATTATGCTAATTAGTTCCTGCTGGGTGTGGCCAACTCTGGAGCCAGCCGGAACTCCGTTCCCTTGCGTTCCTGCACAAAAATAGCCCTGGGTGGAAGTGTGTCATCCTGGTTAATTTAAAGAGCTCTGAAGAATAGGTCACAGTCCTTACCTACTCTTGCATTGAAGTCACCTGCTAAGATAATTTCTGCAGAAGGAAATTTCCTTTCCAGCTCCTCCATGAGTGTAAATAAGCATTCCCAGTGTTGGGAAAGGATTGAATTCCTTAGGGAGGAAGTAGCCACTTCATTGGCAGCCCCCCCCCCCCCCTGCACTCGCGGCGCTGGGGTCTTACCTGTATAAAACTTCATCAACGACGGGACTAACAACTTGGTGGAGAGGGGATGGTTCTCTATCATCTCAAAGAATTTCTGCGTCCGCGGCTGGACGGCCGGGTTCGTCATGAACATCACCTCCACCAGCTTGGCGACCAGGTAGGGGTTTCGGATGTAGTTCTGGTTGCAGAGCATCACAACGAGGAAAGTCACAACGTCCTGAGTGCAGGGCTCGTAAAGTACCTGAGGAGAATATCTGAAGAAAGGAAGCAGAAATTAGAGGCAGCTTACACGGTCTCGGACCACTCAAAATCCCTATTATGAATTCAAGTAGTTGCTAACCCCCACAAGGGCTACCTTCTTGCTGCACCCCCAACCAGACAATGGTCCTATGTCCCACAGGTAAATATGCAGTAGAAAAGGCCAATAGTCCAGGAGCACTTTAAAGACTAACAAAATTTGTGGCTGGGTAGGAACTTTCATGATCCCTTCAGTCTCTGAGGAAGTGAGCAGTGATTCCAGAAAACCCCTGCCTGGCCACAAATTTTGTTAGTCGTTAAGGTGCTCCTGGACTCGTGCTCTTTTCTGCTGCTACAGACAAACACAACTACCCATCTTGCTCTAGTCTGGTGTAGTGTTTGGTGTAGTGGTTAAGTGTGCGGACTCTAATCTGGGAGAACCGGGTTTGATTCCCCACTCCTCCACTTGCACCTGCTGATGTGACCTTGGGTCAGTCACAAGCTCTGGCACAGCTGTCCTTGAAAAAGAGCAGTTTGTGTCAGAGTTCTCTCAGCCCCACCCACCTCACAGGGTGTCTGTTGTGGGGAGGGGAAGGGAAAGGGGTTTGTAAGCCGCTCTGAGACTCCAAGTGAAGGGCGGGGTATAAATCCAATCTCTTCTTCTTCTTCTAGGTAAATATACAGAGATTCCAGCATGTACCCAGCCCGCTACTGCCTGGCAGCAGCTTTACACAAAACATGAACCATGGTCCCACCGCCATGCTTAGGAGCAGGATGCTGCTAACAGACATCAGTACTGCCACCACAATAAAGGGATGAAAACGTTTTTAGACAAGGGTACCCAGGAGAGGCACTATGGGAGGTTGAGAGAACCGCAAGGAGGGGGAAAGCAGCAAGCATCCCTCCATTCGAAGCCAGCGACAACCTACTCTTCCCTCCATCCTTCAAACAGAGACACTAACCCCCTCCGATCCGCAAAACTCTCAGAAGTAAATTTTTTCCACTTACTGTACAATAAAAAATAAAAATTCTGCAACATCTTCCACATAAAACTCAGGCAACGCTGCAAACACTTTCGGGACGTCGAGGCTTAAAGGCAGTTTTATGCTGCGCAGACGGGAGGAAAGGAGATTTATATGAACAGTGAGCTCATTCGTATCTGCAGTTTTATTCTCTTTGAGAAATATTTGCAAAAATACTGCACAACTGTATTATCTGCATGTTTAGGGTATTTATAATTGCCTTTCTATTTCGGAGAGGTGCTCAAGGTGGGGTACAGTCGGGGCATCATACAAAAACTACAGGAGTTCAGATTTGTGGACTAATGACCACCACCACAACAAAAACTCCGGCTATCCTTTCTGTAGAGACAACTGGACTGTGGAATGCCCTCTCCTTTGAGGCCAACTTCTTTTCTTCCCAGCACCAAGTTAAACACCTGAAGAGCAGCCTTATATTGAGTCAAACCACAGGTCCTTCTTTTTCAATTCTCTGATGGGCAAAACATCACCAGGGTATCAAGCAGAGAAAGATCGGACCCTCAATACCTGCTCCTTGAGATCTGTTAACTGGAGGTGCCACTCATGACGTAACAATATAAGAACATAAGAGAAGCCAATGTTGGATCAGGCCAAAGGCCCATCCAGTCCAACATTCCGTCACACAGTGCCATACCAGGGGCCATCAGGAGGTCTACCAGTGGGGCCAGGACACTAGAAGCCCTCCCACTGTTGCCCCCCCACCCCAAGCACCAAGAATACAGAGCCTCACTTTCCCCAGAGTCCCTATCTATACCTTGTGGCTAATAGCCACTGATGGACCTCTGCTCCAGATGCTTATCCAATTCCCTCTTGAAGCTATCCATGCTTGTAGCCGCCACCACCTCCTGTGGCAGTGAATTCCATGTGTGAATCACTCTTTGGGTGAAGAAGGACTTCCTTTTATTTGTTTAAACCCAACTGCTCAGCAATTTCATGGCGTGCCCATGAGTCTACCACAGAGCCACAGCCCCTTCCCCTGGGAGCTTCATCCTTCCTGGTCTCATCCCACTGAGAGGCAAGTTTTAAAACCGCATCGTGGCACGGCTAGTCAAGAGCATCATCAAATTCTTTCAGGAGTCCAGAACTGAACCTACCCCCTCTGTACCGCTCGGCACACTTCTGAGAACTTAACGGAGAAGGAACTAATTAGGAACTCTGCTGGTGCAAAAAACCAAAGCAAAAAAAAGATCTTTGAACACAACTCACTCAGGAAAGGCAGGGTCGAGGATCCGCAGCAAGAGCTGGATCACCATGCCGTAGAAGTTCAGGCACCTCCTCAGGAAATTCTCATCCAGCAGGCCGGCATCTGCACAAGCTTTGCACCGCACTAGTTTCTGCACAAAGAGTGGCAACACCAAGGTTAAGCAAAGGTGCCCCACCAGAAATCGAACCCCAAACCCTATGGCCCTCAAGCAGCACCTACAAGACTGAGCTCCCTCAGCAACTCTGAGCTGGAAGAGCCAGTTTGGCGTAGTGGTTAAGTGCGCGGACTCTAATCCGGGAGAATCAGGTTTGATTCCCCACTCCTCCACTTGCATCTGCTGGATGACCTTGGGCAAGCCATAGTTCTGTGCCAGGGCTCTTTTTGTAGCAGGAATTCCTTTGCATATTAGGCGACACACCCCGAATGTAGCCAATCCTCCAAGAGCTTAAAGTAGCCCCTGTAAGAAGAGCTCTGTAAGCTCTTGGAGGATTGGCTGCATTACGGGTGTGTCTGCTACAAAAAGAGCCCTGGTTCTGTCAGAGCTGTTTTCTCAAGGACAGTTCTGAAAAGAGCTCTCTCAGCCCCACCCACCTCGCAGGGCATCTGTTCTGGGGAGGGGAAGGGAAAGGAGTTTGTAAGCTGCTCTGAGAGTCCCGAGTGAAGGGTGGGGTATACATCCAATCTCTTCTTCTTCAAAACATCCTGGGACTGGCAAATCAGACGGATCCCCCAAAGACAGCCCTCGAAGCTGTTTCTCTCCACTTCCCACCCCTCAGGAAATCAGTGTGATCTACTTCAGTGTCACTCTGATACCATAAGATACACAGAGCCTCCTTGCAAAATCAGATTTCCTATAATACCTGTGCATTTTTATAAACAAGGAAGATGCTAATTAAAGAAACCGAGGCTTGCACTAAGCTACCCTGCAGTATAAAACCTAAAAAAAGACACACTGCGATCCCTAGCAAAGTGACCAGACCCTAAATGAACCCACACCTCTTTCCTTTCTCCTCTGAATGAGAGAAGAAGGTTTGAGATACTATTCAGAGACTGGTGGGTCCCAAAGAGTAGGTGCTGTGCAGTCACATGACTCTCTTCTACAGGGTGGGGTGCTTCCAGGCCTCCCAGCCAACCCAGCATGGACCACAGACACACTCTCCTCACTAGCTGGGCTTCCGCCCTGCCTCCAGCTCCCTCTCCTGTTCTTCTGCACTGTGGGCCTCCCCACAGGGATGCTCTAAACCTCCCACCCCACATGGGGCTTCCGTTCAGAATTCTCTCTCTCTTTTTTTTAAAGAAGCTGCTGACAAGGGGGGCCCCCCATCTGTCAGCATTCTACCTCTCTCCTTACCGTGGCCCTCTGAAGTTTGCTTTCAGCAGGCATGCCCAGAACTTTTTCCTGTTTATGTGAATAAAGTCCGGATTGTCAAGGCTCAAATAAAAGGGGTGTGTGTTTTGGACCCTTTCGTGAGGACAGGTCTTACCCCCTGCCGCTTTTTCACCCCCAGCCCAGTTATGGAGCGTCGATCTTCACCTAAACCCCCAGGACGATATCCCATAAGCACCTTAGCTCTGTGTCTACAAGAGAACAATAGTTCAGGAATAGTATGGTAGATGCATGAAGTAGAACGGCTTTATTCACAGAACTGCTGCTGTCACAAGAGAACCATAGTTCAGGAATAGTACGGTAGATGCATGAACGGCTTTATTCACAGAACTGCTGCTGTGTGGCTCTCCACACACACACAAATGCATGCAGGACACAGGACACACTGAAGTATTTGTGAAAATCCTGCACGTGGCGGGCTGCCTGCCTAAGCCCTCGGGAGCCACGGCTGAGCACAAGACCGGTCATCCATCGCCTAAAAATAGCCACAGACCTTGAGTTGTGTTTTGCAGCGTTTCAGCATCTCTCGATGCCTCGTAGCCAGAGGGGAATCCTTCCATTGACTCTCGTTGTTCTTCAGGTCCTCCACCGTCCTGTAAAAATGGCACCAAAAAACAGCCCTCGTGATCAGGCTAAAAAGCATAAGCCTTCAGCGTGGATAAGCCAAGAAAGCAGTAGAATAAAAGCTCCCCAAAGCTGTGAATAGAGGTATGAGGTTTTCCCAGGCCCTTTTTCCTCCCCTCTAGGTCAGCAGGGGTGCTGAAAAATGAACTAGCTCCTTCCGTCAGGCACAATCTTCATTTTGAACAAAACGTTTTAGCCCTCAGGGGCTGTAGGAAACACACGAAAGCAAGCTTCAAGACCCTGAGAGTTTTAATACTCCCGCCGATGATGGCCCGAGAGAGTGTGCCCTTATATGGAAGAATCCGATTTACCCTGTTTTTGCAGAGAACTTTGGGATGCCCTTTGATCACAAAGCAACTTTCTGAAAAGCAGACTGGAGCTTTTGCTAGGAGTGCCTTTTTCAATCTGCAGTGCATAAGCTCTCATTCCTTCTACAGGAAGCTGACTTTGCTGTGCTGACGTTCCTGCTAGGCTACTGCAGCACATGCTACATAGGGCTGGCCTTGAAGACAACTTGGAAACTTCAAGCTGGCAGAGAATGCCTTCTTTTGAGTGAAAGGGACTGACGCAATCTGCCCTCCTCCAGTTAATCTGGTTACTTTTGAAGGCCTTCACTACCTGAGACCCATACAGTGCCTCTCCTCATCAGAATCCACCCCCCAGCTGAGATCTGAAGAGTGGGCCTCGGTGGTGGCTTCGTAACTTTAGGAGAGGTTGGTGGCAGCAAGGACTACAGTGCTCTCGATTACGGCCCTCAGCGCTTTTAAATCATCTACTACTACTACTATTACAGTCTTCGACCAGTACATAACAATTTAAAAGACAAATAGAAAAATTCCTGATAGTATCCTAGCTGGTTATGAGCCAGTAAAAACCTTAGTAACATAAAAGCTTATAAGTTATATAAAATATAAAGGAAGACGTAAAGCTACTGTTCAAACCTTTTAAGCCATTTAAAAAGTCAGTTTAAAACAATTTTTTAAATTATTTGTAATTTTTAATTTCAGAATAAGAGAAGATAACATTACAGAACAAAAATACATTTCTATATATGTGACGAAATAGCCAAAGGCACAAAGTGTGCGAAGTTTTAAAACAATTTTTGATAAAAGTAGAGGTATGGTCTATTTGCCTTGCTTTCTGAGTTCCTTATATACCTGGGCGCAGACCCGTCTTGTGCTTTCGAATCATCTACCCGAGAAGGAGTTGGGAGTCCCATGTCCTTCTAGCTTCCGTAAGAGATACAAAACTGTCTCAGAGACGAACTAAACGGGAGGGCCAGCCACCAGACGCAACGCGGGGACCACCCTCACATTTGGTCTGGCTCTCAGGTAGCAGTCAGCTGAATGAGACTTAGCAGGCTGTTCTGTGTGGGTCTATGACTGCTTCGCTGCACTGAACATACAGGATTGCCTCATACTGAATTGGATGACAGGCCATACAATGCCATGCTGCCTATTCTGACCGGCGGCCGCCGCAATTCTCCAAGGTCTCATGTGGAGAAAGGTCACTTCCCAGCACTTGAGATCCCGGAAGCCGAGACGCCAGGGATTGAACCCGGGGCCTTCGGCATGCCAGCCAGGCGCTCAGGGTTTGTTATTGATCATTTTAATGCACTTTACTGCTTTATTTTTAGATTTTCCTGCTTAGCCATTCTGAGTGCAAGCAGCACAGGAATATTACAAAAACCATCATTTTTCCTCTCTAATGCCCAAGGTCAGGGCTCCCGCCTCTCAGGACCGTCCTTCAAATAACAAACCACTGAAGTAATATTTGTCTCCATGCACATGACTGTACAGATCCCATTCTTCAGCAGGCTGCCCTTCAAGCACATAAGGATGCCGATCCTCTCCAACTGCCCCCCCCCTTCCGGACACCTGAATCTTCTTCTCCCCTCCCCATCATCCTTCCCACGGCTTTCCCTGCAGCTGGGGGGGGGGGCTTGGTAAAGGTTTCCCTTGCTCGAAAGCCAGTCGAGTCCGACTCTAGGGTTGCGGTGCTTCTCTCCGTTTCAAAGCCGAAGAGCCAGCACTGTCCGAAGACGTTTCCGTGGTCATGACTCAACACCAAGGCGCACGGAAAGCTGTTACCTTCCCACCGAAGCGGTGCCTATTTATCTACTTGCAATTTCTTGCTTTCGAACTGCTAGGTTGGCAGGAGCTGGGGCCAGAGACAGGAACTCACTCCGTCATGCAGCACACTCGGGTCTCGAACTGCTGAACGACCGACCTTCCACAGCCTGCAGTTCAGTGTCTTAACCACTTGAGCCACCGCAGAGTCCATATTTCCCAGTCCTGATCTATTTTTGTTCTTGTGAATGCTACAGAATGGGTCCAGCCCTCAAGAAGGGCCACATCATATCTAGAAAGCAGAGTGGGGCGAAAGCTGGAAGATGGCAGGGAGGAGAGGCACGTGGTGGTTGTATTTCTGGCAGGCCTTCTAGTGAACACAGGATTCACTCTCTTCAGGCTCTGATTTTTCTTGCCAGTCTCTTAGGTTTTCTGTGGCTGTTTTCTGTCGACAGTCAAATGAAATTAGTGCCAAAATCCTGAAAAACGCCCCCACTTCCTTCTGAGCATACTGAGCTTGCCCTTGTCAACTTATGGCCAGCGATTGCTCGAGCCACCTTCGCATGAGATGAACAACGACGCTACTTGTGGCCCACAGGCTTCCTGGGAACACTGGCACGGCTTTCAAAGAAGACAATGCCCCCAGCACTCGAGAGAGCTGGCAGGAACACCTCCCCCTCCCACGGCCATCTGGATGTGCTAAGCAAGTGGCAGGCTGCGCTCCTCTGGATCACCAGTATTTCTACTACACATCAGCAAACTCCATCTCCGCAGGTGTGAGCAGCAGGGCTGGGGAACTGGTAAAAGGCAGCCTTCCCTTTCTCTCGCTCAAGAGGAGTCTCATGAGACATGCATCTGGTTGTGGGGCTCATGTGTTCAGTTTAATTACAGGGCTCTTTTTGTAGCAGGAACTCCTCTGCATATCAGGCGACACACCCCTAATGTAGCCAATCCTCCAAGAGCTTACAGTAGCCCCTGTAAGAAGAGCTCTGTAAGCTCTTGGAGGATTGGCTACATTAGGGGTGTGTGGCTTAATATGCAAAGGAGTTCCTGCTACAAAAAGAGCCCTGCTTGCCAGGTCTCTCCTAGGTCCCAGTGGGGGACGTTTCTGGAGGAGGAGGAGGGTGAGGAGGAGGAGGAGGGGACATGCCCAATAGGAAGATGGTCAGCAGAAGTGGCGTGTGGCCAGCAGCCATCCCTCTCCCTCCCCCTCTTGCAGGGTTTAAAGGGCCCTCCAGCTGATCGATCAGGACCCTGAGTTGGGTCAGAATGCAGCAAACAAAAGCTTTAAATAAGCAGCTAAGGTTAGTTCCATGGCAAAGAAAAACAACTGCTCTCTAGCACCTTCTGGTCGAGACGGTCACAGGTATTTTTGACCCTGTGACCCCCCTATTTCCCAGCATAGCATTAGTTTTCCACTTCTTTCTTAAATGTACTTGAGTATTCCCAGCAGTGGCTTCCCACAACTTTAGAACCTCTGTTATCAGAGACTTGTTCCATTCTCGAATAAGAACATAAGAACATAAGAGACACCAATGTTGGATCAGGCCAAAGGCCCATCCAGTCCAACACTCTGTGTCACACAGTGGCCAGAAATACCAGTGCCATCAGGAGGTCCACCAGTGGGGCCAGGACATTAGAAGCCCTCCCACTGTTGACACCCCCCCCCAAGCACCAAGAAGACAGAGCATCACTTGCCCCAGAGCCCCTAGCTATACCTTGTGGCTAATAGCCACTGATGGACCTCTGCTCCATATGCTTATCTAATTCCCTTTTGAAGCCATCCATGCTTGTAGCACCCACCACTTCCTGTGGCAGTGAATTCCAAGTGTTAATCACTCTTTGGGTGAAGAAGGACGTCCTTTATCCGTTCTAACCCGACCGCTCAGCAATTTCATGGAGTGCCCAAGAGTTCTTATCTTTTGTCTCTCTCAATCTGGCAGTTACTGTAACTGGGAAGACAGAGGGCCTCGTGCCACCTTGAAGACTTAACAGATTTCCTCTGGCTTTCATGAACCACAGCCCAGTTCGTCAGACCTGAAGGGGGCTCTAATGTATGAAACCATATGTCACGATAGTGGAACAGGAAGTGGTGGCGGCTACAAGCATGGACGGCTTCAAAAGGGAATTAGATAAGCATATGGAGCAGAGGTCCATCAGTGGCTATTAGCCACAAGGTATAGATAGGGGCTCTGGGGCAAGTGATGCTCTGTCTTCTTGGTGCTTGGGGGGGCGGGTCAACAGTGGGAGGGCTTCTAATGTCCTGGCCCCACTGGTGGACCTCCTGATGGCACTGGTATTTCTGGCCACTGTGTGACACAGAGTGTTGGACTGGATGGGCCTTTGGCCTGATCCAACATTGGCATCTCTTATGTTCTTATGATAGTCTGCTAGCTAGCTGAAGTGCCCGCAAGACTCCTTTCCTGTTCTCTTCCTTGCCTTCTTTTACTACACACCTTTTAAACAGGCTAGCAAAATAATAATAATAATAATGAAACCCGGAGTCTATCAGCTCAGTGTCTCCTCGACCACTGCGCAAAACTTCTCGCTTGAACACCACATGCGTTCATCAACAGCGTAACTTCTAACCTGTTAAGCTCCCGGATGGCCCTCAGTCTACGGATGTAACGCCGGCAGCTTGGTAGGATGGAGAGATGGTGGGCGTGGAGGGTCAGGAAGAAGCACTCTGTGGGGAATTTCGGCTCAGAAAAGAGAGCCTGATCCCTGGCTGGAGAGAGGGGGAAGGAACAGAAGTGAGAAGAGGTAAATCGGGTGACGTACTTAGGACTCTTAACCAAACGAGATGGATCAAGACGGGCCGCCACGGTGGTCTGTCTGCAGCAGTAGAAAAGAGCCGGAGTCCAGGAGCACCTTAAAGACTAACAGAATTTGTGACCGGGGAGGAGCTTTCGTGAGTCACTCCTCACTTCTTTAGAACAGCCAGGGCCGGCTTGCTCACTAGGTGAACTAGACTTTCGCCTAGAGCGCGGGGCCATCATGGGGGAGCCGGACGGGGAAGCCAGGCGCACAGCGAAGCCTCTTCCCCAGCTTGGAGTTGTTCAGCAACCCAGCGCCGGCGCATCCGCCCCGTGCATCGCCGGCCTTCTCCAGCGTCGCCGCTGGCGCAGCGTGAGAAGGAGGAGGAAGGGGCGCCCCTTAGGAGGCCAGTGGCGGGAGGCGCAGCCCCACTATGCTTTTGGCGCCTTCCTGCTGTTTCCTTCTCAGCTGTTGCTGCGCCACCTGGCCCAGCACGAGCTCCCGCGGCCTCCGGCTCCATTTCCGCACTGCCTCTCAAGCGGCTTCCCCGCCCTGCATGAACTACCACTGGGTAGCGAGAGAGGCAGGAAGGGAAGGAGGGATGAATTTGCCCATCACTCATGCAGCGCAGCAGGAGGACGAGTGCTGCCTCCCGGGCGCTGTAGTACCCTGGAGCCCGAGGGGAGCGCACACGGAGACCTCTCTGAGACCCTCAGCCGCCCATGCTGAGCTCCCTGCTGGGAGACCCGGCGCCTTGGAAGCTACTGGGGGGGGGGGCTTGCCTAGGGGGGGTGCAGGCGCCACAAGCTAGCCTCGCCTAGAGCACAGAAACTTCTCGGGCCGGCCCTGAGAACAGCTGTTATCATGTCTCATCTGGTACAAGGTGTTTGCTAGGGTCCAGCACATCCAGCGCCTGTAAGTCACAAAGCACTGGTGCATCACATCCATTAACATCTTTGCAGGATGAACAGCAGATCATGGAAATGGCCAGCAGGGAATCACTACTGGGGCAAGTGGGCATGTGACACACAAAGCTGCCCGGCAGCGTGAAATCTGGCCCACTTCATTGCTCTGCCCGGCACCAGCCTCGCCAAAGATCCCTTTTCCAGATGGAGGCTGAACCTGGGATGTTACACAAAACGCACACCTGTGGCCCTCGGTGAGCACAGGAAGCTGCCTTATAGCGCATCGGACCACTGGTCTAACTCCCGCAGTATTTCCAACGGCTCTCCAGAGGCTCATACAAAGAACGGTCTTTCCCAAGGACACTTGTTACCCTACATCCTGGCCATGCTAAGGACTGATTCTGCATCCAAAGCATCTACGGCTGATCCTCATTAGATAGATGAAGCGGTCTCCTCCTGGGTGAGACAGCATGGCTGCCCCTAAAGCCAGTACCATCCTTCCTCTGTTCTGGGCCTTGGAGATCCGCTGCCAGTTACAGGAGGTGCTACTGGGTTTAATGTAAGTCACATAATCTTCCCCTCCGTGTAAAAACCAAGTTTCTAGATGCTAAGATTGCAAATGCATTGAAAGCATACACAGATGCAACACTTGGTGAAATCTCAAGTGCCAGAGGGTGCACTAAGCAAGATTTCCTCTCCGGCTCTGATACTCTGCAGAGCTTTTGTTCCTCCCTGATCAATATGACTTACTCTGAAGATGGCAACATATGCAAATGTTCTTAATTGGCATGATGCTTCAAAACTTCACTCCAGCTGGACTAAGGCTGGGGTTACCTTGGAGAACCCACAGCCCCAAATATGGCTCTCCAAAGCCAAACCACAGATTCTCGTTTGCACATTTCCAACACATGAGATGGTGGAGACGACCATGGGTGGCAAGATGCGCACGTGGCACTCACACAGCTCCACCATCCAGCTGGTGACATCTTCCATGGTTGCTTTCACACGTGTCTCGTCGGTTGGGAGGACAATACGACACCGGGGATGGAAGATGTAGGAGGGGTCGACCGTCTCAAGCTTGATCTTCGTGCTGAGCTGCTGCAGCACCCACAGGAAGTTGAGCATGAAGCCATCCGTAGACACCAGGCGGTCATCCGTCTGCAAGCCAGAGAAAGGCGGGCCAATGTTACCAAAAACCAGTTTGCTACTGGCAAGCCACAGCTCCAGCTAGGGTTGCCAAGTACTTACCGCAATTCGGCGGGGGACACATGCTCCCCGGCCGGAACATTTCTCCTTGTAATGCACCATGCCGTCGCCAGGAAATGACACTGGGCGATGCTCTGGCAATGGGGCTGAAAACTCGATGGTACCATTGAGTTTCTGGCCCCATTGCCAGAGTGTCGCCCGGCGTCACTTCCTGGCGATGGCATGGTGCGGCACGTCGGTTGTCCCCGCAAGAATGATCCTGTGAAGACGTCTTCGTCCCCCGCCGAATCACGGTAAGTACTTGGGAAGCCTGGCTCCAGCACTCACTGCCAGCGCCACAAAATTATTTGGCAACCACAAGCGGTGAAGTGCCTTGCACGTGACAAAGAAGGCAGCCCCTAGCCAGAGGCCTACAGTCAAATGCAACCCGAAGATCCAGACCCACTTTTTGATTTCAACGTAAAGTACTAAAGGTCATTCGACTCTCCCACTGAAGCCAGAAGGATTTCACAGTGTTCGGCTCTGCCTGGATTGTGCCTGTGGCTGTTTGCCAACAGTGCAAAAGCTTCGATTGCAGAAGAGAAGAAGAGATTGGATTTATACCCCGCCCTTCACTAACCGAAGGTGTCTCAGAGCGGCTTACAAACTCCTTTCCCTTCCCCTCCCCACAACAGACACCCTGTGAGGTAGGTGGGGCTGAGAGAGCTCTGACAGAAACTGCTCTTTTTCAAGAACAGCTCTGACAGAACTATGGCTTGCCCAAGGCCATCCAGCAGGTGCTCCAAGGTCACCCCGTTTACAGGCCACAAGTTTTGGCCATCTGGGCTCTTCACCTTCCCTTTTCCACTGCTAGTGAAATAAATGCCTGCTTCCTTTTTTGCCCGCCCTCCTCCCCTTCCGGGAGTCTGATGGGGGTGGAGGGGTAGGGAAGGAGGGGGCTAAGGGCACGGAAGAAAAGGTCTTAAGAGGAGGAGGAAAGTGGCTTCCTTGAAGGTGAGAAAATAGCTTTGGACCCGGAAGACAAACCAGGGGGAGCATCAACAGCACACAGTTTGAACGCAACAGATGAAACAAGGGAAGACGCCTCTGAGACGCAGAAGGTGGCTGTGACGACCTCCTTATTCTGGAGGTCTGGTTTCACTTTAAAACTGTTCTTTATTTTGTTTTACTGGGTATATAAGGCTGCCACCAGGAAATTTTAAGGATTTCCAAACCTTTATGCTTTTACTATTGCTCTTCTTTATTTGGTAGACCGAGTTCAAGGTTTACAGGGATCTATGTGGTCCTGGGAAGTATTTCATTCAGAGCTGGTATAAACTTGGATGAAAGAGGATTTATTGAAATAACTACTAAATAAGAGGGTTGTACAATGTAACTAGTAATGTATAAATGATGAACAATTGCTTTGGTATCACACAATTTCCTATAACTTGTCTTCAATTAAACTTTCATTTACTTTTCCCTATACACTCAGCTTTCCTTCTCTGTCTCACTAAACTACCTCAGCTGTCAGCTTATAACTGAACTGCTTGTCTAACTTCAACTGTCAACTTGTAACTGCAACTCCTGACTGACGCACAAAACCTCCCCCCAGATTCCCTTCCAAACCCCCTCCCCCTCTCTGTCAACCACCAATCATACCACACTTGCATCTCTCAACCACTCTAGTCTACCTACCACAGCCATGCAACCAAACTTTAAAGAGACACATACACACAAAAACAAGGAATCATTACAGTGGCAATTTAAAACCAAGGACTACAAGCTTGAAGTTGGCAGGAAACTGATGAACAGAGAAAGGTTCACAGCAACAGGGGAGGCAAGCTTAGCAAAGGAACACCAAAACCAACCGGAGGGGCAGAACAGGGAAGCACGCATTAACAGCAGCCGAGCACCGGCGGGCACTTCACCTGCATCTGAGCTTTCTTCATGTTGGCATTGACCATGGCTGCCATGTAGCTGAGAGCTGCCTCCCGGGTCTCTCCGTTGAGCAAAACGCTGTGGAGGGTCTTGAACAGCTCTTGCTGAAAACAGTACAAAGGGGGAAAGGCCATCACTGAGCACCGCCACTTACCAGGTCCCACTAAAGCAGGGGCGGCCAAACTTGCTTAATGTGAGAGCCACATAGAAGAAACATCAGATGCCCGAGAGCCGCAAGATGTGAACAAATATTACACACGTTTTTATTGGGCAAATAGGCAAATTTGCTTTTCATTAACGTTGACATTAAATAACATTGCTGGAAACGAAAACAAAAGGGGTCAAAACAGATGCGGATAATGATATTTAAAGCGATGCTTTCACCAAGACAGCCGGGGGGGGTGTGTGTGTGCTTGGAGAATGCATTTAAAGTTAGTTGCTTGCTTTCTCTACTCCCACCCCCATTTCGAGCCTACCCAGGGACGGGAACGCTGGCTGGGGAAGGGAAGACTGGTTGGAGAGGGCACGCCTCCCCTCCGCTTCCCCAGCCGCCCTGCTGGGAGCCACGCACTATGCATGAGAGAGCCGCATGTGGCCCCCGAGCCGCAATCTGGCCACCCCTGCCCTAAAGCGACCCTTGGCAAAGCCTCACTACGCTCATCCTCGGTTCCCCCTTTCCCAATCGGCCCCATCCCAGCATTCTGAAGACACGGGGGATTGCATTTTGTGAACACACTACTCAGTCCCGCAGCAAAGGGGTGACTCCACTTCACCAAGACATACCCTTGCAGACTCCAAGTAGTGCTGTAAAGACTGGCTAACCACCCGGGTGTTTTCCAGGGTGATGGCGGGCCCGGAGAAATATTTCTCGACTACTCTCGGCTGCAAGGAATGGAAAGAGAGACGGGTGAGTGATGCAAACGTCTCACTTCCACTGGAAGTTGTCCTGTGGCCAGGTGAAAGGCAACTCATACACACTTACGTCATCTTCCGCAAAGACAGACAGACTGAAGAAAGCCCCAAGGTAAGAGAGTCTTTGGAGCTCCCGTCCCGTCCCAGGGCTCAGAGACTTCGGTAGCCATAAAGGCAGGGACACAACCTGCAGAGAGAGGAGAGCGGCTGAAAGGGATGACTGGGACACTAGCCAGAGCCCCACAGACGTGAGTGCTGCACGCCTGGCGTGATTCCAGAGAGCGAGCTGGCTTGGCCCCAGATATGCAACGCAGATTTCACTTACCAAGCTGCACACGGGATGCGATTTCCCAAACTTGATTTCACATAATTCACCTAATGCCTAGATAGAAACGAGAATGACAATTCATGTAGACGTATTTCCGCGCCACTGCTGGGCTAACTAATGGAAAGATCCACTTGTTGGGTGGAGAGTTTGAAGATTCCTCTTAGGAGCTTTGGCTGCCTTTGGGCCTACAGGCAGCTGCCTGCCCCTTTAAAAGCTGCAGGCGCTGGAGAAGCCAGGCAGAGATATCATGGTTTAAATCGGGGACTGGACAGCCCAGGACAAAACCCAGGGAGCTACCTGGGCCAGTGTGCGGTTGGGCCTCAATGCCCTTGCCAGGTACAGAAGGGAACAGGAGTATACAACAGCAACCCATGTGATAGGCCGGCACCACAAAGCCTCTGGATTAGTCAGGTCTGATCTTATTGCAAGGAACTAGTCCTCCTTCTCCTACCTGGGCAAGAGAGCAGGCCTTCCACCTGCAATGCTCCTGGCTCCAGCAAACCACCTGAGACTCCCTGCTGCACACACTCTCCAGCCCTGCACCCAGGGCCTCTGCCATACCACAGGGCAGTTCCCCCATTTAAGTCTGGCACATAAGCAAAAGGCTAACAGGACAGGGTGCCGACAGAAATCAGAAGAGCCGTCAGAAGACCCCAGACTTGTTCCTGGATAGGGGCAGGCAACCTATTCCAGCCTGTGCGCTGAACGAACAGCAGCATCTACCTGTGAAGATGCTGGTGTGCCAGGAAACAAAGAAGGAGGGAGAGACACACGAGGGTCACACTCGATCAGACAGAGGTCAAAGTGAACCCCAGCAGCACTGCCAGCACTTCAAGAAGGGGCGGAACTGGCCCTGTGTACCGAGCAGTATGGTCTGGAGAGTCACTATTCAACACAGGTTGCCAAGGGTTGCCTACCACGGCTGAGGGGTGACATGACTATGCATGGGAGAGAGCAGGTAGATTATGCATGGGAGAGAGCAGGTAGAGAAAGAAGTACTCACAATACAAGAACCCGTGGGCACTCAATGAAATTGCTGAGCAGTCGGGTTGGAACGGATAAAAGGAAGTCCTTCTTCACCCAAAGGGTGATTAACACATGGAATTCACTGCCACAGGAGGGGGTGGCGGCTACAAACATGGACGGCTTCAAGAGGGAATTAGATAAGCATATGGAGCAGAGGTTCATCTGTGACTATTAGCCACAAGGTATAAACGGGAACTCTCAGGCTGGGGCAAGTGATGCACTGTATTCTTGGTGCCGGGGGGGGGCAACAGTGGGAGAGAGCTTTTAGTGTCCTGGCCCCACTGCTGGACCTCCTGATGGCACCTGGTATTTTTGGCTACTGTGGGACAGAGTGTTGGACTGGATGGGCCATTGGCCTGATCCAACATTGGCTTCTCTTATGTTCTTACCACTGCTCTTGACCCTCACCCAAACACTGCACGAAAGCAAGTCATGACACTACCTTGGACAACCCCCAGAAATTTGCCTGTTGGCACCTGTCCTCTTGGCAGCCCAGGGTGCCAACCAGTGTTCCCTCTAAGCTGAGTTAGTGTGAGCCAGATCACAGTTTTTTAGCCTCCGGCTCACACATTTTTGTCTTGGCTCAGAAAGGATGGCTCCAGAGCAAACTAATTTATGCAGTGGCCAAATCACTCGCTCACAACTTTAATTGCCAGTAGCTCACAAAGTAGAATTCTTGCTCACAAGACCCCACAGCTTAGAGGGAACATTGGTGCCAACCCAAACTGTGAGGCAGAAGACAGGAGCCTGCCTTGTTCAGCACCCTACAAAGGAATTCCAGTCAAGGCAGGCTCCTTAGAAAGCAGACTCGGCATTTCCTTCATCCGCAGCTCTCCAGCCTGCTTGGGGCAAACCCTCTGCCGATTCCACCTTTTAGCGCGTCTCCGCCTGCTTCCCCCTCTGCTCATCCCAAACCATAAAGGACCGCTCAGAAGAGCGCACACTACATCTCATAAGCCGGCAGGGCACCCGGCAAAGCAGCCAGCAAGCTCCAAAGGCCCTTCAAGACCAAGAGATGGAAGTCAATGGAGCTACTGTCCGCTGCACACCAAGCCCTTTGTCTTCCGACGAGGAGCAGAAAGTCAGATGCATGCCGAGCGCAGGGAACAAGAGATCCTTATCTAAATGCCCCAACTCCTGCAATGTGTGGGAAAGAACGACAGAAGAGGATCCACAAAAGAAGGGCCTGTGGAAAGCGGGCTCTCGCTCCTTGCTTAAGTTGTGGCCACCACAGTCGGTCAACAGAGGAATCTCCTTTGGCTAATGCTCTGCAAAGCTACTGTTCTACTGACGGGGAGCAGGGTAGAGGACCCAAACCCATCCATGTTCCTGTAACAAACGAGCACCTAGAATCAGAGGGATTTCCTTTCATTTGAAAGCACAGCTTGGTGACTTTGCCTGAAAACACAGGCTCAGGTTTTCAAAACCCCATCATTACCTGCAGCAGAAATTTAAGATTCTACCCCAAACACTTCTACCTTCTTTATGCTCTGCTTCCTGACCCCTGTGTGAACTCGGCCTAGCTCTCCATGCAGTGGTTAAATCAGCACTTGGGTTCTGCCACTTCGGACTGTTGAGGGGCCCACTCCCATAAATGCTTTGCTAGCCCCCCCCCAGTTGTTATAAGAACATAAGAGAAGCCAGTTTGGTGTAGTGGTTAAGAGTGCGGACTCTAATCTGGGAGAACCGGGTTCGATTCTCCACACCTCCACTTGCAGCTGCTGGGTGACCTTGGGTCAGTCACAAGTCCTTTCAGAGCTGTTCTCTCAAGGGCAGTCCTCCAGAGAGCTCACTCAGCCTCACCTACCTCACAGGGTGTCTGTTATGGGGAGGGGAAGGAGTTCGTAAGGCGTGCTGAGACTCCGAGTGAAAGGCGGGGTATAAATCCAATCTCTTCTTCTTCCTCAATGCTAACCCTAAAAACCCTAACCCCAATAACCCTAACCCTAACAATCCTAACCCTAACCCTAGTAACCCTAACCTTGGTCTCTGAGGTGCGACTGGACCTAACCCTAGTTGTTCAACTGCAGACTGACACAGCTACCCTCCGAAACCATCTCCGTGTTAAAAGAACTCTGCTCTAGCCTGCCCCCGATATGCCTATTGTTCAACATGCAGGAGATGGCTTTGCATGCATTTAATCAAGCGGCCGTCGGACGTGGCACAGCCTTGGCCCAGGAGGACCACCTCACAGAGAGAACTTCAAGACCGCACAGACTGTCAGCATCTGAAACAGAGGCAGGAAAAGGAAAAAGGCAAGGACTGTAACTTACCATAAGGGGATACTTAAAATTATCGCTATCCAGGGAACACTCGTTCGAAGCCACAGCCAGGCCTTGTAAAATGGGGATAAATATCTGTTTAAAGAAATGAAAAGAACAACAACCACATTCTTTCATGTATCAGCTGGTTAGGACCAGAATGGCTGATATCCTTAATGCAGTAGCATGACTTTGTAGAAGTTAGGATTCCTTTGGTCAGGCGTGAGTCAAAAAGGCTCAAGAGAGAATCACGGAACCACAGAGTTGGAAGGGGCCATAGAGGCCATCTAGTCCAACCCCCGCTCAATGCAGGATCAGCCGAGAGAGCATTCCAGCCGCTGCTTAAAGATGGCCAGTGAGGGGGAGCTCACCACCTCCCTAGGCAGACGATTCCTATTATTATCATTTTGTCAAGGTTTTGAGTGTCTGGTTGGTGTAGTTAGGGCCAGTTTGGTGTCGTGGTGAAGTGCGCGGACTCTAATCTGGGAGAACCGGGTTGGATTCCCCACTCCTCCACTTGCACCTGGCTGGGTGACCTTGGGTCAGTCACAAGCTCCGGCACAGCTGTTCCTGAAAGAGCAGTTCCTGTCAGAGCTCTCTCGGCCCCACCTCCCTCACAGGGTGTCTGTCTGTTGTGGGGAGGGGAAGGGAAAGGAGTTTGTAAGCCGCTCTGAGACACCTTCGGGTAGTGAAGGGCCATGGGGTATAAATCCAATCTCTTCTTCTCCTTCTCTAATCTGGGAGAACCGGGTTTGATTCCCCACTCCTCCACTTGCACCTGGCTGGGTGACCTTGGGCAAGCCGTAGTTCTGACAAGAGCTGTTCTTGAAAAAGAGCAGTTTGTGTCAGAGCTCTCTCGGCCCCAGCTCCCTCACAGGGTGTCTGTTGTGTGGAGGGGAAGGGAAAAGGAGTTTACAAGCCGCTCTGAGACACCTTTGGGCAGTGAAGGGTGGGGGTATAAATCCAATCTCCTCCTCCTCCTGGTGTTAATTTTAGACAAAAACCTATTGCTGTTTTTTTATTGGGGGCATCCTTGCTTCTCAAACTGCCCGGACCTCAAAGCAGATGCCGGCATTTTCAAATATGACCTGCAACTGTTTCCTTTGCCCCAATGCCCTTGGCATGCCAGTGAGCTGACCCATATCGTTGATTGACTGCTTACTTGACTGCAGTCACAGGAGAGATTTTGTATCCCACCTTTTTACCCAATTAGGGCCCTGAATCAGGCAAGCAATTTAAAAGACATTAAAACCCAACTTTAAAAATGATACACGCAGCAACTAAAACATAAACAGGAAGGAGGGTCTGTAATATTTGAATCCGTCCCCAACAGAGTTTGCCATAATGATTAGTGGTTTTCTTGGGTTGGCAATTGGTCTTATAAATTCATTTGTTGTTGTTGTTGTTGTTGTCATTATTATTATTATTATTATTATTATTATTATTATTTCCAAAACAGATTAAGCCATACTATCGCCAATAACAAAGATACATCATCATGAGAGTGCAACTCAATAACAATCATAAATTAAGTCAATAAATATTGCAAACCGTAACATTTTAACAGAAGGACCTTCTATAAAGACAGAAGTGTATTAGTCCACAGAGTTAAGGGGGTAAGGATTACACATATCGTCTCTACTCGACAAACCTTGGTAATACTGTTTCATAACGTTAGCCATTTGTGATAATGTAAGTTTGCAGGTAGAATATCGTGCATAGTGAGATAAGAGAATATTGGGAACCAGATTTGTGGTCTAGTACGTTAAAAAAAAAAGGCTTGGCCATCTCCCTTCAACTGTCTTATAATTGTGACATGTGACGATATGTAACTTCTGATTAGGCTTACTTGTACTGTTTGCCACAGAAAGGGTGATAACCCATACTGAAGTATTAAACAAAGAAATTTTCAGGAGAAACTGTGAGCTAAGTGAAGGAACCAAAAGCAAGTTCCGCTGTGGGTGAAAAGACACAGGCATGGCATGAGCTGCCTTGGACCCCCCCCCCCCAACCTGCTGGGAAAGGCTCTTTAAAAAAACAGAATTGCTTACCTGCCTGAACACCTCTTCATCCTGATGGGTAGTTCTCACTAGCTCCTGGATGAAGCCGAAAGGGAGGTTCCTACACAGCATGTACGGGACCAGCAAAGACTGCTGCTGCAACGACCTTCACACGCGGACACACCAGGATCGGGGTGGGGGGGGGGGAAGAAGGGAGAACAGACTAAGCCAGCCATGTGATTCCAACATAACTTCCCCCACGGATGCACCACTGTCGGCTTTTTCTCCCTTGTTACGTCTGGGGGACTTCTGATAGCGTTACTAGTTTTTGCTGTTCTTGTTCGGAGTTTTATGGGTTAGTTGCATTTATGCTTTTTATCCTCTGCTTCTTTTGCAGTCTGAGCTCCACTTTAAAACGAATGCTGTTTTATTGACATACTTAAAGGTAAAGGTTCCCTTGCTCGAAAGCCAGTCGAATCCGGCTCTAGGGTTGCAGTGCTCATCTCCGTTTCAAAGCCGAAGAGCCAGCGCTGTCCGAAGATGTTTCCGTGGTCATGTGGCTGGCATGACTAAACACCAAGGCGCACGGAACGCTGTGACCTTCCCACCAAAGTGGTACCTATTTATCTACCTGCAATTTCTTGCTTTCGAACTGCTAGGCTGGCAGGAGCTGGGGCCAGAGATGGGCGCTCACTCTGTCATGCGGCACACTCGGGTCTTGAACTGCTGAACGACCGACCTTCCACAGCCTGCAGTTCAGCGTCTTAACCACTTGAGCCACCGCAGCTCCTATTGACATACTTAGTAGCACCTTATACAGTTTTAACTATTTGTAAGCCACCTTTGGTATTTTATATGGAAAAGATGGACAGAAATATTTAAAACACCTCTCTGTGGGAGGGGGGGAGCAGGGGTCACTGGGGGAGTGGGGGTAGCACTGAACGTCCTGCACTGTGCAGTGGGTTGGACTAGATGACCCTTGGGAACCCTTCCAGCTCTATCTTAATGAGAAAAGGCCATTTTTCACAGAGTGTCAGGTTTTTAGAATCAGGTAGGCAGCCGTGTTGGTCCAAAGCAGCGGAACAAAGTCTGAGTCCAGGGGCACCTTTAAGACCAATCAAGTTTTATTCAAAGTATAAGCGTTCACATACATGCACACTCCTTCAGATACCTCCTCAACCATTACATACAGGTGTGGGGGGGTGCTAGTTGCCAGAATGCATAAGTAACTGGGCGATTATAGCTGAGATTGGATTAAAGCAGCTGGTAAGATCAGTGAATAGATGAACAGATCACACATGTGACAATATATAAATCTGATTAGGCTTAATTGTATTGTCACGCCCGGGTTGCAGGGAGGGGTCGAGTGAGCGATGGATAGGATCCAGGATGCGTTGGCTGAAGCTCAAGAGTGTGGGTTCACCTCAGAATTGTCGTGATAGAGTTAACGGCACTCACTCACAACGATGGGGAGTCGATAGACAAGTTCGAGTGGACTTTACCACTCCTCTCTGTCTTTTCTCGTACCACTCTTCCATCTCATTCCTCCCTGGTTTCACCTGACTTTCTCCTTTATTTGTTCAGCCTTCGCACCTGTTCTTCCCCACCACCCACTTCTTAAAGCAACCGAGCCACCAGCCAGAGCTCCAAGGGAAACTGGTCTCGGTTGTTGACTTGCCATCCCGTCTTCCATTGATCGTGGTCCTGACGGCTGGCCCAGTGATTACCGCGGCCTCGGCCCCCTCCCTTCGTAGGTATTTCACCCCTCTGTGGCTGTGGCGCCAGTACCCCGGGTCCCCCTGGGAATGGTCTCGGACCAGTGGCTCCCTTCTGGCGAGAGCTGACAGGGTGGGCTCCTGCATAGTCAGGAGGGGGTTGGTATCTCCCTCCTGACATGTATTGTTTGCTATTGTGCTATCTGCTATTCACGTATCTTACCAACTGCTTGAATCCAGTCTCAGCTATAATCACCCAATTACTTATGCACTTGACTCTTCCAGGCAACTAACACCTCCCCCACCTATATGCAATGGTTGAGGAGGTCTTGTTTCACTGTATCTGAAGGAGTGTGCATGCACATGAAACGTTATGCCTTGAATAAAACTTTGCTGGTCTTAAAGGTGCCACCGGACTCAAACTTTGCCAGGTTTTTAAACACTTGTTGATTAACAGACAGGGAAATGGGGTGGGGGAGCAGGGCTGGGGAGGTCAAGAAGTTTATTTTAAAGAGTAAAAAACAATTACTCTACAGTAGGTTGCAGCCATAAGCCTCTGATACGAGGGATTTAAGGGAGACGATGGCGTAACACACGGGACGGCCACCTGGCCCTCGGCAAGGAAGAGCATGTGCAAAACAGCTAGCCATCACTGAGGAGACCCAGCTGCTGGGCCTGGGAAGGAAGGCAAAACAGGCAGGAACAAACGGAGCTGAGAACCTGCAGGGTTTGCTGGACAGTTTCCTGGAGCTGAACTGCACATGGCCTGAGCACTAAGACCGCAGGAAAAGAGACGGGCATAGGAATACGGCCACAGGGATTCAACCTCCTCTCCAGACAGCACAAGCAGATGCTCCATAAGAAGCATCAGGGCAAACGGCACACCTCCCTCTTTCTCCCCCAGGCCATGAACTGAATTTCGGAGTTGGTCGACACCTGAAGAGGGAATAAGGGGTGGCAGAGGGCAGACCACACTGCAGACTAACGAATTACAATTTAGTCAGTCCTCATGCGGCATCAGTGACGACCAAAGACTTCTGCTGCTACTCCAAAGCAAGGCTGTACCCTACGGGTTCATATTAGCTTGATCATTATGGCTTCCTCCAGGAAGCTGTCAGGGGATCTGCTGACCGAAGCAGACCCACTGCTCCGCTGACAAGGGGAAGGGGAGAGAGGGAAAAGAGCTACGGCAGTTAAAATGCTCGCTTGCAACTTAGAACATCTGCCCTATTATCATGCCTGTTTTGGAACAGCTCCGAGTGGAACACAGGCAAGAAGGAAGCGAAAGAGTTAGATGGCCACATCTTGGCTCAACTCACCTCGGTTGTGTTAAGGATCCCTGGAGCACCAAAGCAGCGTGGGAAATGCACTGGGATCGGATGTTGCTCAGCAACTGGCTCACCACGGGCTGGCTACACATCTAAGAGAAGAGGAGCATCAGGCGGGATGAGCGGCGATGGCGTGCAGAGGAGCAAACCCAACCCTAGCCCTTCGAGGACAACGATGTTGGCAAGTGCCCTCTTACAGCCTTCTACGGCTCTCGAACCCCAAGTCTAAAGGTTGTTCGGGGACGCACAGCCTCCTCCAAGCCCTCCTTGTAGGTCTGACCCTGCACCCAGCACTTCAAGGGCTTCAGAGTTCCGCAACGCCAAAGTGAACAAGCCAACAAACTTGGGTGATTCTTTTCCTAAGGTTTGGTGGCACTTGGAGGAAGTCTGTGCCCACCTCCTCTGCGACAACTAACAGGGAAGACTCACAGTGTTACACTTTCCTTTGCAGAGACTGAACAGCTGAGGCTTCAGGGCTAGGGCTCTTTTTTTAACATTTTATTTATAAGGTTTTTACATGATAGAAAACACAATATATTGATTGTATTACAGTAATTACCATATCATGAGTCTATGTTAACATTTGTTGTCTAACCACAAAAAAAAATTGTCCATATTTCTTTAAATATGTTGTCATCTTTACCTTGCAAAATTAGTGTTAATTTATCCATCTCTGCAATATTCAACATTCTATATATCCATTCATCTCTTGAGGGTATTTTTCCCTGTTTCCAATATTTAGCAAATATAATACGAGCCGATGTTAACATATATGTTAATATATATTGATCTGTTTTTTTAATACTTATCTGGCAAGATATTTAACAGAAATATTTCTGGTCTATATGGTAGTTCTATATCTATGATTTCAGATATAAGTTTTTGTATCTTATGCCAGTAAATTTGTGTTATGTTACACCTCCACCACATATGGTAGAAGGTGCCAACGCTATGTTTACATTTCCAGCAAGTTTTAGATAGATTTGGGTAACATTTCGCAATTTCATCTGGTGACCAGTGCCACCTAAAAAAACATTTTATATATACTTTCCTTATATGGTATTGCTTGTGTATATTTTATTACTTTCCAGATTTTGGAACATTCATCAATATCAATGTTATATCCAAAGTCTAGGCTAGGGCTTCTAAAAGACCCATGTCAGGGTGGAAAGCATTTTTCCCCAGGGTGTGCCAGCTAGTGACTGGGGGGCCTTTCTGGCCCCCTTTCCTCTGTCTTAACGTGGCTTGGCTCCCCGGTTTCTGCTCCTTTGCACATTGCTTCTGGACCACGTGAAGCCGCCTTATACCATCGGCCTATCTAACTTATCACTGTCTAGCTCTGACAGACCGGATCTCCAGCAGAGAAAGGTCTTCCCTGACACCTGCTACCCAAGACAGCCGGTTTTCTACCAGTTAAGTCCTTGGCAAAGAGCATGTTCTGGATTTATATGAGTTGATCTGTGGGGCAGAGGAAAGGGTAGGAGAACCTGAGTGGCAGATTATTCTGAGCTGGAAGGGACTGGCTTGGATACCTTTTCAGCCTCTCCTAGCCCCAGCGTTCAGTGTTTTCTAAAACTGTTGCTCCGCAGAAAGTGACGGGACGAGGAGAACTGTTCCAGCCAGCCCCCTCCCTCCCTCCCTCCCTCCCTCGCATACCTTTGGTGCTTTTCTCTCTTCTATCCCCACTCTGTCGAAACATTCGATGAGGTAGTTCAGCATCTCCGTCTCCTTGCACGTCTCAATGGTGAAATGGTCACTGCACGCGTCAGAAACGCTGGCCCCACCAGAGCCTCCACCACTTTAAAAAGGGGGGGGGGGAGAGAAGTAAACAGAGAAATCAGGGTCACTGGCCTTAGCCAAGTGGGGAACAGTCAGCCCCTGCCAGAGGGAGCGTGATGGGTAAAGCTGGCAAGCAGACTCTCTAGGAGGCAGGGCTGACCCACACGATGAGTTTCTTACAGGCAAAGGAGTTCTTTCCACTGGTATTACCACCTGTACTGGGCATGGACAAGCAGCCTACACACAAATGCGGTACCACGTAAGCTCCCGTTGCCACACGATTGCTGATACGCACAAGTCAGATCAGCGTGGAGTTGAGAAGGATACAAATGCGGCAGAGGAGGGGGATTTTGTCCTGAGGCAGGTAGGTCCTAGGCATCATTTTGAGGCACATAACCTCGAGATCCTAAGCACAAATGGAAGACACCAGGACTGTAAGAGACACAGCCTCCTACCTGCTCCAAGGGGCATTGAGTGCTATGCTTTACTTACCTAGTGAACAAATTTTACAAACAAAAAAGTTCAGCACCGTGCATACAGATACTGTGAGGGTTAAAACCATCCTCCCGGCCCAGTCCAGGCAATACAACAAAAGGGTTGTACCACTTAGACCGTCGATAGGGGGGTGGGACATATTTTCACTGATCCTCCCCATGCAAATAAAGAAGTCAGCAGACCAGGCAAAAGGGTTCTAGGCCCCACACCCTTCATATGGTGTGCTTGTTGTTCAGTCGCACAGTCGAGTCCGACTCTTCGCGACCCCATGGACCAGATCACGCCAGGCCTTCCGGTCTTCCGCCGTCCTCTGAAGTTTGCTCAGTGTGCTAGTTTTCCATTTATAGGGAGTGACTGAAGCAGGGATACTTTGCAAAATGCAACCCCCCTCTCACAGTCTGGAATGGAGCAGTCCATTCTGCTATCTCAGCCCCCCCCCCCAACCTGGTTCTTTTGCATGTACAGACCAGGCCTTTCATTGCAGATGCTGAACATGCCAATTGTGGTCTTTGACTGACAGGTCATGTGACATTTGCTTTACAGATCAGGAAAACAGAGTCTTGCTCACTACGGTCAGAAGTCAGCCACACGGCCTTTTATGTTCGGGCACCCTATGCAGTAACAGACCTAGAAGGTCCCGCTACTTCAGCAAGAGAGGTTCAAAGGGAGAGTCCAGTGAGAAGCTGCTGAATTGGAATCCTGGCACTGATCTGACGACCTCGGTCTTGACAGGGACTGGGAGTGGACGTCTCCCTCCTGCAAAAACAACCGTCCCTCTGAACAAAGTTTATGTCCACCATTCCTAATCCTCTGACTTGGCCAAAAGCATCAGCCATTGGGAGAGGGCCATACCCATGCTGAATGGATCACCTCCTCTTTTTGGCAGGATCTTGCTTTCACCTGTGCTATGCAGCATCACCCCTTGACCTGGGCGGCCCAGGCTAGCCTGACCTCCTCAGATCAGGGAAGCTCAGCAGGGTCAGGCCCGGTGAGCACTTGGATGAGAGGCCTCCAAGGTAGCCCAGGGCGGCGATGCAGAGGCAGGCAACCGCTGCGGCTAGTCTCTTGCCTTGAAAACACTGGCCGGCTTCCTAAAAGGAATGCACGCATGCGACCGCAAAGATGAACCACAGCACAACTGGTCGCGATGTGCGTGCGAGGAAGAGGTTACGTGTGCCTCCACCAACCCGGTAGATTCCTAATTTGGCAAAGGTCAGGATGGCCGCTGCAAAAGCAAGGAAGGAGCAGAGGTGCGGACGACGACGGAACCTTCTTTGCTTCTGTTCTTGTGAGCCTCACGAGGTACCACTGCAGAGGCTGGAGTCGCTTTCACACAGACTTCAGCTCAGTGGAGCCTTTCATGTGTTTTAATCCCTACAGCATTTCTTCCTGGGGCTGGAGACGCTTCCATTCAAAGACCCCCCTAGGCATGAAGGAGCAAAAACGTACCACCCCCACAATGGGGAACACATGGCTGTGCGACACCCCGCCTTGGGTGCAGTATGCCTGGCTTGGGGAGTGGGTCACCTCACCCTCAAGGAAGGGGTTAAGACGGGAGGAATGATCTCCCGTTTGCATGACTGCTACGAACAAGGCCTCCCTTTCCAGAATGCCTCTGCACGGCGGAGAGAGACAGAATTTCCTCTTTTCGGAAAACTGATCCAGGAGAACTCTGGGATGGCATCACCTCTCCTCATTAGCTATTGCTTCAACAAGGCACACATGAAGCTGCCTGATACCGAATCGGGCCCTTGGTCCATCAAGGTCAGTATTGTCTACTCAGACTGGCAGCTGCTCTCCAGGGTCTCAGGCAAAGGTCTTTCCCATCACCTACTGCCTGGTTCCTTTTTTTAAACTGGAGGTGCCGGGGACCTTCTGCATGCCAAGCAGAGGCTCATCCACTGAGCCCCAGCCCCAAATGATACTGAAGTGGCCTTATACTGAATCAGACTCTTGGTCCATCAAGGTCAGTATTGTCTACTCAGACTGGCAGCCGCTCTCCAGGGTCTCATGCAGAGGTCTTTCCCATCACCTACTGCCTGGTTCCTTTTTTTAATCTGGAGGTGCCGGGGATTGAACCTGGGACCTTCTGCATGCCAAGCAGAGGCTCATCCACTGAGCCACAGCCCTTCGCACAGGACTGTCACCCAGCAAGCTTTTGTGGCAGAGTAGGGATTTAAAACTGGATGTCACAGATCCTAACCCAACACTTGAACCACAAAACTGGATTTCACAGATCCTAACCCAACACTTGAACCACTCCACCACGCTGGCTCTCATGGAATATCCTGCAGGAATACCTAGGCCTCTCTGCCTCAGTTCATGTGACCCCATCTTGTCAGCGGAAGACCTAAAGATGATTCAAAGAGTCACCAGAGCTAAAGGGAATCCACAGAATCCTTCCAAGAGAGAAAACGATGGTAAGAAATGACCAGTTTAAGAGCCACCAAAAGGGCTACCCCTCCCTTCACTATGAGGGAGCCATTTCTCCATACGCTGAAACACAGAAAAGGGGAAACGGGGCTTTGATGGGGATAATCACTAACATGCAAGCTAGTGACCAGGGAAAAAACCCAATGAGAACAGAACGGAATGTCAGTTTTGGAAAAGGGACAGGAAAAAGCAGAAATGCCAGCACGTCTCTTTTTTAAAAGCAAGACAGACAAAGTTACGTGAGGGTTGTTTGTTTTTTTGAATACCTGGACCCAAACTGGACACAAGCAAAGTCATCCTCGTCGTCTTCATCTTCTTCATCGGAACTGTCTCCAGACATATCAGAAATGGCAAGGAAGAGGGGGAAAGGGCTGTCGTACAGACTATCGTGAGGAAAGCAAACAGGACCCATGAATCGACAAGGAGGGAACAGCGGCAGAAGGCCAAGAAAGATCACCTTCGCCAAAAGCATGCACCAAATCCAAGCTTGAAAAAACAGTGTTTGTTAAAGCCACAACCAAGTTAATGTGCCCCCTCGCGACAAGCATCACTTCAAGTGAAACAAACACTAAAGTGACCAAAGTATCCACTCCAAGTCAATCAAGGCAAAGCGGGTTTTCAAACACAACGAGGAAGGGATGGCTCCAGAGCAAACTACTTCGGGCAGCAGCCCAATCGCTCGCTCACAACTTTAATGTCAGTAGCTCACAAAGTAGAATTTTTGCTCACAAGACTTCACAGCTTAGAGGGAGCATTGGAGGCCACTAAGGAAGTCCAGGGTCCATGGACGGCTTCAAGAGGGAATTAGATAAGCATATGGAGCAGAGGTCCATCAGTGGCTATTAGCCACAAGGTACAGATAGGGACTCTGGGGCAAGTGATGCTCTGTCATCTTGGTGCTTGGGGGGGGGGGGCATGATGGCACTGGTATTTCTGGCCACTGTGTGATACAGAGTGTTGGACTGGATGGGCCTTTGGCCTGATCCAACATTGGCGTCTCTTATGTTCTTCTATGGAGCAGAGGTCCATCGGTGGCTATTAGCCACAAGGTATAGATAGGATATCAGGAGCTGCGGTGGCTCAAGTGGTTAAGACGCTGAACTGCAGGCTGTGGAAGGTCAGTAGTTCAGCAGTTCAAGACCCGGGTGCCGCAAGACGGGGTGAGCTCCTGTCTCTAGTTCCAGCTCCTGCCAACCTAGCAGTTCGAAAGCAAGAAATTGCAAGTAGATAAATAGGTACCACTTCGGTGGGAAGGTCACAGCGTTCCGTGCGCCTTGGTGTTTAGTCATGCCGGCCACATGACCACGGAAATGTCTTTGGACAGCGCTGGCTCTTCGGCTTTGGAACGGAGATGAGCACCACAACCCTAGAGTCGGACTCGACTGGCTTTCGAGCAAAGGAACCTTTACCTTTTACCTATAGATAGGAACTCTCAGTCTGGGGCAAGTGATGCTCTGTATTCTTGGTACTTTGGGGGGGCAACAGTGGGAGGGCTTCTAATGTCCTGGCCCCACTGGTGGACCTCCTGAGGGCACCTGGTATTTTTGGCCACTGTGTGATACAGAGTGTTGGGCTGGATGGCCCTTTGGCCTGATCCAACATTGGCGTCTCTTATGTTCTTCTGTTCAGGGTGGCTATGCAGAGGCAGGCAAGGGCCAACCACCTCTGAGCATCTCTTGCCTGGGTTGCCATAAGTCAGCTGGGACTTGATGGCACTTTACACACACACACAGACACACACACACACAGAGTAACTCCAGCCTTCCCAACCCATCCTTGACAGACAACGTAGTGATTTAGGCCCAATGTCAGACTTCTCGTCTTCAGACAGGCCAATCCATTCAGCTTGCCAGTTCTGTTGTGCCTCCTGGGCAGCCACACCGATGACTCACCCAGCCAAGAGTCAACGCTTTCACTGGGCTAAATCCCAGCAAGACTGTCCACATCCCAGTTGCCAATGTGCCGCAACGTTGGCGCTCTAAGTGGACTGCACTCCCAACAAGCCGGGCACAGCGGCACCGAGACTGTGCCTGTGCCCCCCCGGTCCGCTGCTGCGGCACATGTGGTGAAAACCCAGAAGCAACATGCCAACACAGCAGGGCACCTTAGCTTCCCAAAAGAACGAGCCAGGAAACTATGAGGCAGTTTAGATCCTTTACAGGCTAAGGATTTCCATCTGAGTAATGGGTGAAAGGCGTTAAAAACGCCTGGGAGAAAAAAATCAGTCAACCGCAGCTAACACTGGTATATGCAATGGTTTTCAAAGGGAAGGAAACAGCAGGCAAGCAGAGAAGGCTGATGGAGAGCAACTAGGATGTGGATGTGGACAGTCCATCTAGATCACAGATACGCAGATACAAGACAGAGGGGAAGAAACCATATCGTTCTCCTTGCATCCAGTAAATCTGTGCACGGCCGTATTCCCTGTTCCCACCTTCTTTCTTGCATTTCTCCCCTTTAGCTCTAGGCCAAAAATGCTGCCGACCCCAAATGTACTCAGCGGCCTTGCCGGCAGTCGGTATTAGCAGGGCTCACACAGTTTGTTAAGTATCTAAGCAAGACATTTATTAAAGGGGTTAGTCAACCAGGCTCCTTTTGCGTACGAGTCCTTCCAACGCACATTAAGTCACTGCAACCCTGCACGGCACACACCAAGACAGCAAACTCTCAAAGCCACGAAATACCTAGATGGTGTCCTGCTCAGGAGGGACGGCCGCCTGCTGAGTGGCCCAGGCGAAGCAGTAAACAGAGGCAAGGCCATTGTTATAGGCCTAATCCTGGACGAAGAAGCAGCCCGAGCAGCCGGAGGACTGGTGCTTGTGACTGGAGGAGTTGGAGAGCGAGAGAAAACGGAGGCGGCCACCGAGGGTGAGGCGAGAGGAGCCGGGAAGGCCCATGGGTGGGCCACAGTGTATGGGCGGTACCTTGGGGAGGAAGGCGGGGCTCCGAGTGGGCCTGCCTGTGGGACATGAGGGCTGGCTGAAAGGGAAGGCGCGGTCGTAGGGGCAGCCAGGCTGGCAGAAGAGGCAAGGAAGGAGCCGGCCAAAGAGGTGAGTGCGGGAGCTGGGCTAGTTCCGTAGAGACTAGGATCAAAGAAAAAGGGAAGGGAGGAGGAGAAAGACAGACAGACAGGCAGGCCTTTTAGAACTTCATAAAGTAGGAGAGAAAGATTCAACGTTCCCCTGCCAGACTGTAGTTGTCTCAACACACGGGCTTAGAGAGTCATCCACGCCAACAGTTTTGAAACTAACTGAACGTTATAAAGTTGGGGAAGCATTACCACTTGCCTATGGAACACATCCAACTGGCATCGTGAGAATCTCTGTTTGCATTTAAGAAAAAGCGCACGATTCTCCCCCTTATTACAGCAGAGAGAAGTCATAAAAGCTCTGGGACTAAAGAGGAGCTGGCTGGATTCACAACAGCTACACATTTCACGGACATAAGCCTTGCTCTCCTACAAGAACCACGCCGCTGTCCATCGCCTGGCACAAGAGAACTTGGAAGCAAAAAAGGTTTCAAAACGCACAGAGGCTCCTGGCGTCGACTCACAAAGCCTAGTGTAGAATCCGGCTGGTTACAAAAGGCCCCCCTTACCTCGATAAGGAGCTGGAACCAAACGACCCCACGTTGCAGAGCGTGGGGCTCGTCCCCGGATTGGAGCCGGCGTTCAGGACCAGGTTTCTATCAGGAGCCCCAGACACGTTCGTCATCAACGGAGGGGGTCTGAGTGGGAAGCACATTCTGTGTGTGTTAGTGTGTGTGGGGGGGAGAGACCAAATTCTGTGTGTGGGTCGGCTCCTCCTGCTTTATGGCCTTCGAGATGAAAAGCCGTTCCCAGCCTGTTCTGTTGGCAGATTGGCGTGCCGGCTGTGCCAGCACCTCCGCATCGTTCGCGACTCCTTTTTGGTTGCTGCCACAGTGGAGGGCGGCTGGTGGGAGCTCAAGCTGCCCCTGCCCTCTAAAGCTCCCTGCTGGGCCTCTGCCCAATGCTTCTAGGGTGGTGTGGGGGAGCGGGGTGTTCCAGCCGTGGACTCTTCATTAGGGTTACCAAGCACCTGCCTTCGAATCGGCGGGGGGCACATGGTTCCCGGCCAGAACATCCTTCGGTGTAACACACACCCCGCCGCCGCACCATGCCGTCGGCCAGACGTGACGCCAGCACGCTGTGAAAGCTCTGGCAGAGCGTCGCGCCAGAGCTTTCACAGCGTGCTGGCGTCACGTCTGGCCGACGGCATGGTGCGGCGGCGGGGTGTGTGTTACACCGAAGGATGTTCTGGCCGGGAACCATGTGCCCCCCGCCGATTCGAAGGCAGGTGCTTGGTAACCCTAATGAAGAGTCCACGGCTGGAACACCCCGCTCCCCCACACCACCAAAGAAGCATTGGGCAGAGGCCCAGCAGGGAGCTTTAGAGGGCAGGGGCAGCTTGAGCTCCCAGCAGCCGCCCTCCACTGTGGTAGCAACCAAAAGGGAGTCGCGAACAATGCGGAGGTGCTGGCACAGCCGGCACGCCAATCTGCCAACAGAACAGGCTGGGAACGGCTTTTCATCTCGAAGGCCATAAAGCAGGAGGAGCCGACCCACACACAGAATTTGGTCTCTCCCCCCCACACACACTAACACACACAGAATGTGCTTCCCACTCAGACACCCTCCGTTGATGACGAACGTGTCTGGGGCTCACCACCACGGGAAATCCAACGCTGCCAGATGGAAGGGAGGTGGGTTGCAGCACCAGCCATCTCAGTGCAAGCCCACGGGGGGGGAGGCGGGGGGGGGAGAGACTCAGCTTTGTGAAAAAGGGATACTACAGGGATACCCCCTCCCTGGCAGCCTTTGAGCAGCGGCTGGACAAACACTTGTCAGGGATGCTCTAGGCCAGTGATGGCGAACCTTTTAGAGACCGAGTGCCCAAACTGCGACCCAAAACCCACTTATTTATCGCAAAGTGCCAACACGGCAATTTAACCTGAATACTGAGGTTTTACTTTAGAAAAAAAACCCATACATTAACTTAAGATGATCCAAACAAAGTAAGGAGAGCAATCCCATATGCTTTCATTTACTTAAAATTATTTGGCAGAGAATTCGACACTTTAATGATGGTCTGGGCCTGGCTGGGGCGATGGCACGCGTGCCCACAGAGAGGGCTCTGAGTGCCACCTCTGGCACCCGTGCCATAGGTTCGCCACCACTGCTCTAGGCTGATCCTGCACTGAGCAGGGTGATTGCAACTCTGTGCGATTCTACGATTCTACAGGCAGAAAGGGGGAGGGGGAGGAGGCACGGTACAGCCCAATCTTGGAAGCGAAACAGGGCTGGTATTTGGATGGGAGACCGCCAAGGAAGGCTCTGCAGAGGAAGGCGATGGCCGACCACTTCTGCTTCTCACCTGCCTTGGAAGTCCCTTGCTGGGGTTGCGGCAAGTCGGCCGCGACTTGACCACACGTACGTACACGCAGGTGGGAAAGAGGCCTCAGCAATGTGGTGGAAGGTAAACTTTCTGTATGGGATGCTACAGGATCATCCCCGCTGAAAAAAAGACCCCTGGGGCAGAGTTCAAGACGACCCTCTGCCTGAGATCCCAGAGACCACAGACAAGAGAAAAGGTCGCGACTTCACCTTAAAAAGAAAGCAAAACAGCTGGGCTCCTTACCCTCTTTGGGGTTCTGTTTAAACTGCTCAGAAAGCGAGGTGAGGAAGATGACGTCCCTGTCGCGATCCTTCCACGAGACCCTGAAGATCTTGCAGACTAACTGTAAGGCTTGCTCCTCGGATATCTCAGACCCTGATGGGGGCTCCTTCGCCACAGGAAAAGGGGAAAGTCAGGCATTCGTTTGGAGTACCCAGGCCATAAAAGGGAAGCTAACCCTCTCTCGTGTAATCTTAAATTTACATTCTTAAGTATCCTTATGAACATTGCCACCACCCAACACCCACTGCATATCTGTGACAGAAGTACGGATTTTAGCCAGATCGTGAGTCAGAAATCCAGAAACCCACCAGCCAACCAATCGGCACTTCCAAATATGTGCTCCCATCACACCCGCAACAAACAGACTCTGGCTGCTCTCTTTTGGGCTCACCCACCTTATCGGTGAGACTCCTTTTCTCCCTTCGATCGCTCTCGTCGACTTCCATGTTTTCGATTCCTGAATCTACGTCCACCTGGGACATACTGTTAAGTGGAACAGAGAAGCCATTAATCTCCGGACATTCGAGCAGGCTCGCTTATAGAAGTTGCTGACCGAATGGACAGGCGCAGTAAGTGAAAAGGAGAAAAGACTGACGCACACAGGAAAAAGAGGGGCCGTAAAAAGGGATGCCATTAACAGGCGCCGGTCAATAGACTGGCCTTCTGCAACCCACCGCTCACGTAGCTTTTGCTTCAGGGCTGGCCTGTGCAGCTTATGACCCAAAAGGAGTCTGGCAGGCTTAGAGGCTCACCCCAGTCCTCAAGGACTGCCCAGACTGAGGGGGGTAGGAATACAAATACAGGCCATTCTGCATGGCTGCTAGGTAGCCAGTTTGGTGCAGTGGTAAGTGTGCGGACTCTAATCTGGGAGAACGGGGTTTGATTCCCCACTCCTCCACTTGCACCTGCTGATGTGACCTTGGGTCAGTCACAAGCTCTGGCACAGCTGTCCTTGAAAAAGAGCAGTTTGTGTCAGAGTTCTCTCAGCCCCACCCACCTCACAGGGTGTATGTTGTGGGGAGGGGAAGGGAAAGGAGTTTGTAAGCCGCTCTGAGACTCCAAGTGAAGGGCGGGGTATAAATCCAATCTCTTCTTCTCTTCTTCTTCTCTTCATTTGCGCAGTGTGGGCCCTGCTTTAGCATGCATCAAGGCCCCAAAGGCAATCTTTTGCAGTTTTATCCTGCTCTTCTTCTTGCCTGATAGAACTTGAGACACGGTCTCCTAGATAAGTTACTATGTTCGCCGCAAGGTTTCCGATGGGACCCTAGAAAAATGCTGCTACTTTAAGAGTTTTATGCTCACAAGGGGAATTTATTGTGCCTTATGTCTTATATGTATATCACTGTCCTTGAAAAAGATTCTATTCGATACAGGTAAATTAGCGTCTGGTGGGACTAGTGATTGTGAAACTGACAAGGTGCTGTTCGAATGTCTGAACACAGTGTAAACTTGCACTCTGATGTATTGTTTGGTGAGCCTATGTTTGGTAATACTTGACACCGATATTTATATAACAGTATAGAAAAATTTTAAAAAATAAAAAGCACAAAATAGATCTACCTTAAGCATACACCTATTATACACAGTGTCATACATTTTTCCATATCTTCTTGCAAAGGTAGCGTACAATAATCCCCACCCAAGCACATTTTATTCTCACAACCACCCTTGTGAGGTAGGTCACCCTGGGAGACAGTGGCTGGCCATAAACCACCCATTTGCAACTACAGACTGCAACCCCTTCAGATTTTAAGCCCTGCAATCAATTTCCACCTTTTAAAAAATTTCTAAAACATGCTCTGTTTCATCCCTTTGGGCTGGAGGTAACCGGTGGTTCCTGGGCCTGCTCCTTCCCAGCGGTCAACTTAGCTCCTCCCTACCAGCTGTCAAGGGGACAATGGTATCAACAGGACTTGCTGGAAAGGCGTTTTGCTGCTTGGGGAGGGGCGGGAAGAGGGGTGTCAGCATAGCTTCTACCTGCTTAAACGCCCCAACAAAATCAAACACACCTATCAAGACGCTTAATTCAGACCAGGTAGGAACCTGTAGGAACAAAAGCCTCCTGCTTGAGAGGACCAAATTAACGAAGACCAAGAGATGAGGAACCAAGAGATGAAGGTTGCCTTAAAAATACAGTTACTAGTCCTCAACATTTCTAGACAAGCACTCCTTGCCCATGCACACCTGGTCAGTTATTCATGGCCAAGAACAACCAAATCCTGTAAACGCTACCTATATAAACAACTGAAGGCCAGTTTAATTCACCATCAGCCAGGTGACTGGCTAAAACCGGGGGGGGGGAGACAGCCAGTGTTCCCTCAAAGCTGAGTTAGTGTGAGCTCAGTTTTTTAGCCTCCGGCTCACACATTTTTGTCTTAGCTCAGGAGCGAACTCATTTATGCAGCA